ATGAGCAAAATCTAAGCTTCCAGCAAAAAATGTTGGGTCCCACTAACTCCAGCTCCTGAAGCTTCAGAATGAGAAGAAAAAAATCCATACTTCCTCACAAATGTACTGTACGCAGAAGTGTAATACTACGACTTTACAACTGTTATATATAGTGACAGCTGAAGTTATTATATTTATCATCTCATTACTTGGTTCCTCTAGTGCATTTAAGATTCTTTTTTACTTTGGCACGTTATACCCACTTGAAAATTGTTGCAGCTCAAACACACCCTCCCGTGACAATCGCACTCCCCAACAGCAGCTACCTTCCATTGCAGAATATTGTCTCCTGCTGCCCCATAACATCAGATGCCAACCTGACTGGGCATCTGCAGCTGAACTATAAAAAGTCCAGCGTACCAGGATCGAGCCATACAATCCAAAGGCCAGAAAGGATCCACAACCGATATCATTATTACAGAGGATATGTGTCTGTGCAGTTTGAAACTAAATAATGAGCCCTGGTGTATATGAACATTTTAACCACTCAGAAGAAGTAAAAGTGATGAAGAAAAACTATGACATAACTATAATATCTTATTTAGTTGACACTAAAACTGTGTTCAAAATGACACAAAGGTCACTAGAAAGAGCCCAAGAACTGTCACCTGTACCGCTTAGAAAGAGTGGGAGAAACAAAAAGCTTCTGTAGAATCCATGGTTAGCATCTAATCACACAGAGACAAGTTAGTAAACAGAGCAGAGCATTTGTCCGCAGGTAGCAGAAAACAGAAATAGTTTCAAAAGAGCAATTCTCAATTATAAACATTTATATTGTGAAGCACACTTGTAATAGGTCCACAAGTAAGACAATGCAATGCAATGCAAAAGCCCAGGATCTGAACTAAATTTTATTTTGTTTAGGGTTGCTAGGTCTGTGTGATGAAACTAGCTCAATAACCAATGAATATTAGGCCAAACCCTCAGTTCACTGCAAGCACTTGGTATACCAGGGGCCCTGAGTAGACAGTTTCTCACATTTATATGACTTTAATTAACTAAACAACAATGAACACATGATTTATAGCATAAACTAGAACATGAAGCTTTACGCTAGATGTTGGCCATGTTCCAGTAAGTGAAAGACAAAGTCAAAATGTCAACTTCACTGTTCCCGAATTAAGCTTTGTAAACAGCGTCTTCAACTGGATACCATGAACATTTTCATAATTAAAACAGTGACTGCAACGGTTTAATAGAAATAGAGCAGAATCAACTCTTAAATAAGAAGTGAGCATGGAATAGGGTTGCAAAGCAGAGACTGACAGCATTGAGATGCTTGCTCAATAAAAAGAACAAAATATTGTCCCACGACTCACACCTTCAACCCATTCATGATGCAGATGTAAAATTGAAAACAAAATAAAAACGTTAATGTGCCACACTGGTTATGGAGAGGACAGGAGAGGAAGGATGATTATTTTGAGACTTTTAACTCTTACATCTAATGTCCTCGTTTATTTTATAGAATTTAAATACGGCATGAGATCTAACCACAATGTTTTGCTAATTTATTTGTTTATATCTTGGGGGAAAAAAACGATGTATGATAATTTTGTGCTATTCTATTACACATTTTGCCATGATACAGGCAGTTAGGGGCAGGCTAAATTAGTTAGTCTGTACTATTGTGATCAAATTTACAGTGATGCAGTATGTTGGATTGGTTACATCTAAGGTAGTGTTACTAGGTTACATCACGAGTACCAGAAATCATTTTATATTTAGAGTGATGATGTTGATTAGATTCACTCAACTATATATTTTATTCTAACTTTATAGCGTTCCGGGTTTGGAAAGATAATATTGGAACATCAGCATGTCTGCTAACGACATTTTGTACGCAAGAAAAATCTACTGGGGCTCACAGCACAAATTATACTGATTATTTATAGATAATTCTTTTCCCCACTCTGCACCTGATCTTAGAATCCCCCCATCTGCCAAATCTAACTTTAACCCCTGTCTGTACTAGAGATGGACCGATCCGATATTACGTATCGGTATCGGACATAAAAAAGTGGTATCGTGCCATCTCTAGTCTGTACATGATGTTAAAACCAAACAAACTGTCTTTTTAAGAGCCCCAGTGTAAGGATTTCTCTCCCCATATTACTTATACTGATACGTACTCAGATTATGTGTGCTATGACTGACTGACTGATTAGCTGGCTGGCTGTTATTTGCCAGGTTTGGACATGCTGTTCAAATAACTTAAGTGTGCCTGGTCGTGACTATCTGTGCTACCAATATCAGCATGAAAGAAGAATTCACCTCACAATAAGTTATCACAAGATTGAAGCAGGCTGCCAGGTCAGTGGGGGTCACAGCTATGTGAGTATTTGTCATCACCAGAATTGTTCTTTTTTTTAATTTGCAAACAGGTTTATATAATGCTAAAGTAAATGCTTTAGTTGTCACAGGGTTCACATAGAGAGACAGACTACCTTTCACACCTATGGGCAATTTAGAATTACTAGTTAACCTAACCCCACTAACAGCATGTCTTTGGACTGTGGGAGGAACGCAGAGTACCCAGTGAGATCACACACAGACAGAGCATACAAACTCTACACAGAAGCCAGATGGTGGATTCAGACCCAAGACCTTCTTGCTATATGGCAGCAGTGCTAACCACTGTGCCAGACAGAATTCATAGACCATAACATTAATTCATAAGACCAGCACTTTGCAAAATAATAATAATAATAATAATAATAATGATGATAATAATAATAATAATAATAATAATAATAATAATAATAATAATAAACGTAGAAGCCACCTGCTGGATAGTGAATGTTCATGAGTCAGACTGGGTGTACCTGTGATTTTTGTGTATTTGCTTTTCAGTTGATTCAGATGCACTTCTTACACAGGTATTTTTAATACTTTGGTATTAAGTATTGTGACCCTTGAGTATATTTAAGTCACATGCAGCAGTCGTAGCTTCCGTAGAGCGGACTCTTCTTCTCTGTCATTGCACTCGCACGCACAGAGGGAGCTCTCACTGCTGC